CACACATTTCAACAGACAAGGGCTTGAACTTGTACCACCCAAGCATATCTCGGCAAAGGAGCACCCCCTGAGCCCAAGTGGAAGGCCTGTGGTGGTGACAGGGCAGTGCTGGGTGGAGGGGGCTCACGCCTCCAATTCCTGTCATTCCAAAGGTCCCATAAAAAGAGGCACGCTCATTCTTCACCTCGCCATGAAACTGGAGCCCCCCTGCCCCATTATCACACCACAATTCCCTGGTGAGGATCAAGGCAGAGTTTGGGTAACTTCTGTTACCCAGGGGCCCTGGGCAGCCACATTCTCCTGGAAGTCAGAAACCATCAATGCACAGACTCTAGTGGGTGTGGGACCCTGCAAACACGAGGAAGCCGGGAGCTGGGTGGGAAGGGGGTGGGGTGAGGCGGGGTGGCCAGTGAAGCCGATCACCGTTCCAGCTTTACCGGGTGGCCCAGCCTCCAGCACAGCCTGGCAACGTGGGTTGAGAGTGAGGCCCTTTTCCTAAAACACGTGAGAGCTGCTCCCACAAATATCTGAGGCCAACAAAGAGAAAAAGGACTTGGGGAGAGGAGCTGAGGGCAGAGAAGCGGGGACGGCGGCAGAGGCGAAGCAGCTTTGGCTTTCCACCTGGTTGACTTGGTTCGGTCCTCGGGGGGAGCCTCAGAATGACAGCGAGGAGCAAGGGCCCCTGGGATGGTCCAGACCAGCTTCCTCACTGAACAGAGGGGAAACTGAGGCTGGGCAAGGTCAAGGGACTGTCTCAGCTGTCAATGTCTCCTGCTCCTATTCTCCCACCGGCTCAGGCTCTGAGTCCTCCACATGGCTCAGCAAAGAATCTAGTCCCTGGCACAGATTTCTTGACTGGTTCACAGCTATTCATCAGTGACAACAGTGGCAGTCAGGGCATCTCTAGAGCATCCTCCTAATGTGGTGCTCAACCTGCTACACCTTAGAATCACCTGGGGAGTTCTTTGGGAAAGGATGCCCAGGCCCATCCCTGGAGAGTCTAATTCAACTGGTCTGGGGTAGGGTCCCTGTGCCGTACGTTTAAAAATCTCCTCCACGTGTGATTCTAATGGACAGCTAGGCTGAGAACCACTGGCCTAAAGAAAACCTGGTGGCTGAAACTCAATATTCCCAGGCTGGATCTCCACTTCTGACAATCACAATGATAAAAGACTGTGCCTCAGTTGGCCCATCTATGAAATTGACCCCTCACCTACAAACTGTCAGTCACCCAATGGCTTGTCACTCAAAGTGTGGTCCCTGGGCCAATAGCGCCAGCAACACCTGGGAGCTTGGTAGAAATACAGAATCTCAGGTTCTACCCAGACCTGCTGAATCAGAATCCGCATTTAAATAAAATCCCACGTGATCCAAAATGCACATTCAAATTTGAGAAGCAGTGATCTAATGAAGACTACATGCTTGGCACATAGTAGACATTTAAGAAATGTCTGTTTAATAAGTAGAATTTTATTTACAAGAACACTACTAAGAAAAGGACCACATCTAAGGCAAAAAGACTCAGTTTAGATGTAAAAATTTAAGACTATTTTTGAGCTGTGGGATTGGTGACAGGAGTCCACTAAGACCCAGAGTCTCTAGCATTTTCATGGCTCATGAAGGTAATGCTTCTGGATTCTTTGAGATGACAGTGTTGAGTCTGGCTGGGAAGGGTTCAGAGGCCTTTGACCTCCCCTTTGCCCCATGTTCCTCTCCACAGGGGCTGCACCCCAGCTTGGCAGGCAGCCCTTACACCTCTGCCAAAGTGTGTCCACTACATCAGAGCTTGCTCATCTCCCCACATGCTGCCAGCTCCCACCACCGAAACCCAGGCAGCATAAGCGGTTGGCCAGGGAGGGCGATATCCAAAGACAGCTGCTGGGAGCCCTGTTCATAGGGCACTTCACACCCTGGCCCCTTTGCAGCCAGCATCACTAAGCCGGGTCTCAGAACTTGTACGTGGAGGCAGCAGCCAAACCTGGCCACATGAGGGGCATCTCGGAGGCCACTGAAGTGATCCAGGAGCTGGCTGCAGATCCAGAGGCCGTGGGCCTTGAGTGGATGGAGCCGAGCGTAAACCTCAGAGGGAGAATGGGGAGGAAGGGCTCTGGAGGCCAAGCCCAGCACTGTCTGCCAGGAAAAGGATATAAATCAGGTTTGCCAGAAAATGAGAGCAGACACAAAAAGACATACCTGTGGGTGTTAAGAAGGAAAGTGGGGTTTGATGAGCCATGCCCACTGCTCTCTTTTCTTGTACCTCATGAGTCTGGGGTGGAGAGTGGCCGTGAATTATGCTGCCTGGAAAGCCGTACTCCAACCTGCCACCTCCTTGGCTGCAGAGAGGAGCAGCAGGGCCCGAGGAGGCCCAATCAGACATGTGCTGTCGGCTTCCTCTGGGCCTTGTAATCGGGGATCCGCAAGGGGCTCGGGACAGCCTCATACCAGCACATCCAGCCTGCCTTCCCCTGGGAGCCCAAAGGGCTTGAACAGTGACCCAGGAGGCCTAAGTGCCTAGCTCAAGCCCTAGGGTTATACCCTTCGATGGGGTCCCTCTTTGGCTTACACGAAAGCTGGGGCTACAGGTGGTGAAAAGGGGGTGAGTGGGGGTCTACGGGGAATTTAAATTTCTAAATACCCGACCCACATATGCTCCACCCAGGCAAATCGCGACATGGGAGTGACAGCTTTGCTCTGCTCAGAGACAAGGTGGCATTGGTAGGGCGGGGTCTCTTGGGCTGCCCCCCCAAAGCCTGTCACACATGATGTACCTATCATTGAGCTGTGATGTGGGGTAAGCAGGTTTCTGAGGGCTAGGGGGATCCAGGACCACTTCATGCCAGTGGCAAGGTTTGGAGAGAGTGAGAAAGGAAGACTCGCATGTGGGGCCACTCACGCCCCTCCCCGAGGCCCCTGACTCATCACCAGCAGCACAGAATTGCAAGGTCCGCTGTGGAGTGTTGAGCAGCCAAGCACTTTCCCAGCGGGAACTGCAGAGGCCAAGCCCTGGCTGAAGCAGGTGGAGAAGTCCTGTTTCCTGGCTTTCAATTTAGTGTTCTTTCCCTACCTCAGTGTTTGCCAAACTGTGTCTCTCAGCACACTAATTCCACAAGAAGTTATTAGCTATGCAAAGAGGCCTTCATTGAATTCAATGCAGCCAAACAGGTTCCCTTCCTGCCGGGACATCTGGTGGCTGGTCCACTTTGCGGCTGATCGAGAGGCGGGTGTAGGGGCCAGGGAGCCCCTTTTGTGGCTGAGCATTTCCCAGGATTGATGCTCTGCTGGACACCATGCGCAAGGCTGCTAGAACCATGCGGTGTTAGAAGAAACGCCTGACCGGGGCAGGATCTCGGACGGCCCCTGCAGCCAGCTGCCCTTCCAGGCTGGGTGTGTCTCACCCCACGCCCTGTGTGTCTGTCCACCACTGGCTCTGGCTGGGTTACTTGGAGCTGGCAGCCATTGTCTAGAAGTCTTGCCCTATCCTGGCCCTTCTCTGAAAAAGAACAAAAGCCAAGGCCAAAGGCTGATCCCGACCCTGACTCCCCCGTGCCTGGCAGTACCTGGCAGCCTTCTCCCCGCCGTCACCCTCCACACTCTCCCAGGACATTCCGGCAGGCGAGGAACACGCCCGATGTGCAAATCCCTCAGGTAATGCGGGAATTCGTCACCAGGGGAGTGCGGGCGATCCAGGAATGGGAACCTGATCGGGGCCTGGAACTGGAGAGAAGCAGTCCAGGCTGGCCAGGGAGGGCTCAAGTTACAGTGAGCAGGCTCCCGGGAAGAGAGGACAGTGGGGAGGGAGCCCTGAGGGCAGCATGCGGAGGGGGCTCCTTCCTCCTAGTTTTCAGGAAGGAGACGGCAGACCACGAACCAGGTGGTTAAGACCAGGTGACCATATGCCCTGGTTTACGCCTGGCGTCTAGGTGTAAATATGAACCGAGCCCCTCTGACTCCCAGAAGTGTTGTGGTTTGGATGCCCTATTATGTGGTCACCTAGTTAAGACGGACCGGCAGGTGGTCTCTTCCAGCTCTATAATTCTACTTTCAGAACTTCCAAGCTACTGTTTCCCTTTACCTGGACTGGAAACTCAATTCGGATCTCAACTAGTCTAAGGTACAAAGTAGGAGTAGAGATGACTTTTCCCAGCCAAGAGTCTCCAAGGATAGTCCCAAGGCCTGGTATGGCCGCCATGCCATGCAACCTGCTATCTCTCCCTGATGCCACCAGTTCACCTGCTGCTGCCCATGACAGAAGAGCAGATATCGGCCCCCAGCTCCCCACTTGTGAGATGAAACAGTGCTGGGCTCAGTCTCAGCACCCACACCCACTACACACCCTCACTGGTAGAACCATCACTGGACGCTGGCACCCGTGGAGGAAGGAATGTGGAGGAGCGGGGTTAAGCAGTCTGGGGTAGTGGGATTTTGAGTGGGAAGGCACCAAGGAACAACACAATCTTGGATCTCCACGCTTCTCCTCTGCCCTAAAAGTGGATTCAGGAAGCCCAGTGCATCAGCAGACAGACTGAACCTTTCCTGCACAAAGCCCTTGTGTCTTCTGCTCAGACCCATCTCAGCACCAGCTACCACCAACAGCACCACCTCCAGGGTTGGGGGGGGTGGTCCTGGGGAGGAGGAGGAAAAGAGAAGGCCATAGCAAGTTCGCATCTGCTCAGACGCAAGGTCAAAGCACAAAGCCTGGGTAAGGCCGAGAGCCGGCCCTCTTATCATGGAAATAGAAAGAGGGAAAGGCTGGTTAAACATGGAGCACCTATAAAATTATATTGGTCCATTGTAGCCATGGAGCAGTCACACAAACACACGTAAATCCGGCCACTCATCCCCTGCCCCTTGAGTGCCTTTTTATTTTCTATAATTAATCGGGCAAGGGTGGAACTTGGGAAAAGTTCAACTGTGGTCAGAATTTGCAGCCTTCTCTCTAGTAATAACCCACCGGCGGGGCGGGGCGGGGACGGGAGGCACAGCTGTCGGTGTCCAGTTACCTGAAGCATGTTGAGGAGCAGGCTCCGGAACTTGGTCCCCTCCACCATGAAGAGCGCCATCTTGTCGCAGAGCTTGGCTGCGGTGAAGGCGAAGCTGCGGTCGGACACGGCCTTCTGGTAGATGGTCCGGACGATCTCCCCCAGCATCTCCTCGGAGTTGGTCGAGTTCTGGGCCTCCTCCATGAAGGTGGTGAGCTTGGCATCCACGTCGCTGCTGTTGTTCCGCATGCTGTTCAGGATCTCAATAAGCTTGTCCATCTTGTTCTGCTGAGGGTTAGTGGTCTCCACCGCCACTTCATCCTGGGGGCGTGGGAGACAAACCCAGTCGCGCCTGAGTGGAGACGAGGTTTCTGCGGGGGGTGGCCGGTGGAGGGAGGGCTGCCACCCCCAGAGAGGACCCAGCCCTACCTTCTTGAAACTGAGGTCTGATCCCTCTGGGAACGTGGACCTCTACCCAGGACCCTCGGGCCCCAAGGCTCTCTGCTGACCTCGTCCTTGGCCCCTGTGACATCCTCGGCTGATCCTTCTTGTAGTTCTAACTCTTACCTAGATTCTCATACACACTGGCTTTGTTTATTTACCTGTCCATCAAATGTCTCAAGTAGAAATGATTTCATGGGGCTTATAAAAGATGAAATAAGGTAACAAATAAGAATTGGGCCAAAGAGAAGACAAGAGGAGGCAGACTAGGTCAGGAAGGAGGACGGTATCCACAATGCCTGCTAGTTGGTTAGAGATGCTCAGAGAGTGGAGACCTTGACCTCCAGACTCCCAGCTCCTGCGGCCCAAGGACAGTTGAGTTCTCTGGGTAAAGGGATCCTTGTGGACATGGCCCTGGCTCTGTGTCCTACGGAGACTGTGCTGGCCTGCTACAGCAAATACTACACACCAAGGACCCCTCCAAAGTGCCACTAAATGACTGGCACTTCTAGGAGGGAAATTTCAGACAGAAAAAACTCCTCGCCTTTAAAAGGTTTCCCTGCAACTGGGACCAGACTTGGGCTGGAGAAAGAAGACAATGGCATCTGACAGTCTCAAAAGTATTTACTCCAATATAGTAGATTCGTGGCTGAGAATGCAACTGACTTAACTGCGGGGATGTGAGATCAGGGTAGAAGGGCAGGATCAGGATGTGAAGCCAGGTCCCGCACTTGCCCTTCTGTTCTCAACACAGAGGGCTCTGGGCTAGAGGCAAAGACTGGGCATTTAGAACCTGCTCCATGGCTTTGGGAAGTGGTTTCACTCTCTGGGCCTCAGTTTGCTCACTGGTCACATGAGGAGGTTAGAGTAGATGGTCTATGGCTTGCCTAAGCCCATGTCTTGCTGGTCTAGAAGTCCAGGAGGCCTCGCCTAAGGGGAGTCCTTGAAACTGATGTATGGGTGCTATGGACCTACCTGCTCTGTTCTATCCCTCCCTTTCCTACCCCACCCTGACCATCTGGGCCCCAGGGCAGGACGAGTGGTCTGTATATAGAATAATAACCACCCACAAGGGTCTTTACACATGTTACGACATTTAATCTTCATAGTCTGCCTGCAAGGTGGATAGTATTACACCCATTCTACAGATGAGTAAACTGGGGTTCAGAGAGGTTAGGTGACTTGCCCAAGGTCACCTAGCCAGTCAAAGGCAGAATGAGGACTGAGCCTGGTTTGCCGGACTCTGAAGCCTGTATCGTTTCCACTCGGCAGCACCGTGGTTACATTTAGTAGAACTGGAGAGAACTTAGTTAATAATCTCTTCTCCCTGGCCAGGCTGCAGCAATCTGCCCCGAAGCTCTTTAGACCACACATTGGTCATCAGCTAGGAACCTCTTGCAGGCTCCTACCTTTGGGACGTAAGGGAATGAGTGAGGCTTTCCTCCAGGACCCCACAGGGAGCGGTGGGGTGGGGGGCTCGGGGCTGGGAAGGACACCAGGAGCAGCCTGTCAGCTTCAAGAGTTGATCAGGGAAGAGATCTGATCTGCCTTGTCCTGCCTGAGTGTGGCCCTGGGCCTGGCCTCTGAGGCGAAAGATGGAGGAGGTAAGGGGGAGGAGAGAGGGGCCGGGGAGAAGCCTAGAACTTGGAGCCCTGCAGAAGCCCCAGAAAAAGGACTCCATGGGAGGGCTGAGGGCAAGCCAACCCTTCTCAGGACCTGTTCCTCTCCAAGGTGACCTCACCTGCACTCTTGGCCAGGGAGGGGGAGCTAGGAGGAGCACAATGGACTTAATGCTGCCAGGGACAGATCCCCACCCCTTCTCTGGAGGCTTGGTGGCACCTCCTCCTGAATTTGTGAACCAGGCTCTAGAGCCCAGGGCCAGGACTAGGGGGAGGAAAGAGAGGCTCCTGGGGAGCAAAATTTAAGGAAGTCCTCGCTCTCAGGGCTGTGCCAGCACAGGGTTGGCACCTGTGTGATGCTGGGAGCAAGGGCCTCCTTAAATTTTGTCCCTTAGACCCCTCACTGGCCGCTGGTTGATGAAGGAGGGGAATGTTGCCCACTCTGCCCAACTCACCTTTGCTCTCGACCCTGGCAGGGACCACGGCCTGGCTGGGACTTACCACGGGGAGAAGCACCAGTCCTTCTTACCTGATAAGCTCCGTGTTCTCCCCAGATGCCCTTTAGCACTAACAGGGCAGTATCTGACCCCAGAAAATGCTGAAGGGAAGAACAAGGTCTTCCCTGCACCCCTCCTATCACCCCGAGGCATGTGCCTCTTCCTCCCCTCCCCTCTCAGGCGGCGGGCTGGTACCAAGTGCCCACCTGGGGCTCTTGGGGGCCCAGAAGGTGAGGAGCCAAATGTGCTGGAGGGCCTACCCTCTGGTGACCAGGTGTGGTGGGTCCACCCTTTCTTCCCTCCACACGGCTCCCCAGGCCCTCAAACCCGAGCCCACCTACCGAAGTGCCTACCTCGCGCGGTCCTCCCCGGTGCAAGAGAACAAGGAAAGGTCAATTACCGGTACCTTTTCTTTCAGCCTTCGCCGCAGCCTGTCTTTGGAAGACTGGAGCAGGGTAATTTTGGGCCGCTCCCCCATGCGCTCGGGAATAATACTGTCTTTACGTCTTGCCTCGGCCTCTGGACCCCCTGGCTGCTGTGGGGGCAGCCTCTCAGAAGCCACTAGGGCCAGGGCATCAGGGCTGTGGGGGGGCTCGAGGCCGCTGTGCCCGGTGTCCCCCAGGGCATCCTCGAGTTTGGGGCTCTCCATGGCCACCGTTTCTTTGGCATTGCGGTGGGCGCCTGACTCCCCCTTGTCGCCAGGTGGGTGCTTCATATTGCTGTGGTGCCAGCGCCGGTTCTGGCTGTAGCCGTGATGGGTGGGCCTCCCTGAGGAGTGGGGCGCTGAGCCCCCCTGGTAGGATTTCTGGTGGTCCCTGTTGTGTTTGGCACTGCCCGGCTGGTGGTCACCATGCTGTTGGGGCTTGTTTCCTCCTGGAGGTCTCTGCTGCCGTCTGCAAACCAAAGGGGGAAAGATGGAGAGGGGGTCACTGGGTGGGCTGCTCAGAGTCCCCCTGTCCAAACAGTAGAAGAGGAATTCACTGATTTGTTCTTTTATTCATTCTTTCAACACCCTTAATGAGCGCTTCCTACGCACCAGGCTCTGTGATAGGGCCTGGGACACAGCAGAGAATAAGATAGACAGGGCCCTGTGATTATAGAGGATTTAAGTCAATCCTTGGCTTGAAATGAATATTTTATCCCCTTATTAGAATATGCATTAATACACGTGTAGGGAACAAAATTAAAAAGATACAATAGAATATACAGTGAACTCTCCCGCCTCTGTCCCCAGCCACTCAGTATGTCCTCTTGAAGCAACTTTGTAAATCTTCCAGACATATCCTATGCATATTCCAGCAAAGATATACACAGGGACCTGCATCCGATAATGACTTCTTACCATAATGGCTCTTGAAAAGTTATATCATTTGTTAAACTTTTTTTTTTTTTTTTTTGGTACATTGACATTTTCACCCCCAAACCCACCAACGAAATGTGCTATAAGAAGTTGTTATAAGCTGAAATTGTGTATCCCTCCTGCCCCAAATTCATATGTTGAAGCGCCAACCCCCAGTACCTCAGAATGTGACTGTATTTGGAGATACGGTCTTTAAAGAGGCGATTAAGTTAAAATGAGGCCGTTAGGGTGGGCCCCAATCCAATCTGACTGGTGTCCTTATAATAAAAGGCAGTCTGGACACAGAGAGACACCAGGGATGTGGGCACACAGAGGAAGGACCATGTGAGGACACAGTGAAAAGGCGGCCATCTGCAAGTCAAGGAGAGAGGCCTCAGAAGAAACCAAACCTGCCGACACCTTCACCTTGGACTTCCAGCCCCCAGAACTATGAGAAAAGAAAATGTCTGTTGTCTAGCCACCCAGTCTGTGGTATTTTGTTATGGCAGCCCAAGCAGACTAATGTAGAAGTGATATTTAACACGATGGTTTTAGGCAAAGACAGGCTCACCAATTCACTTGAAACAACACTTTCTAAGCAGAGAATATCATATGGAACAAATCTGAGGTGTGTAGCATGGGACGAACCCCAAGCATTCTGATTTTTGGACCGAAGGCAAGCAAGGGCGGTGGGTGGGGGGTCGGGGGGCACATCCTCAGCATCCTTCAGTCTTGTGCGCATGGGCTGCTTCCATCACTGGAAGCACTCTTGTGTTCCACCTCTATTTCACCCTCACGGTGTCCTCCGCGCCCTAACTTTATTTCAAGCGCAGTTGGAGAACAAGGTAACCACAAGCCCCTCAAAAGTTGTAAAGTTGGTGAAGAAAGTTTGCAGAAAGAATTTACCTTCTAAAGAATAAGTCCCACACTCTCTGTCACCCATCTCTTTGGCAGGTACAACAGACCTTCACTGCATTGCATTTTATGAACAAACTGTATTTATTTTCAAATTATTATTACTTACATAAACTCAATTTCAATATTCACTTGATAATTTTTTCATCTTTGAAAATTTGGGGGTATCTTTGGTTGGGGTTAAACATATAATTTTTTTCCATTAAAATTAGTGAAAACATTCTTTTTTCTCCATTGGAAAGTTTTCCCTAGTGGCAGGGTTTTCAGGGGTAGTTGAAGTTGTTTCCACACAAATGGTAACTTACAACACATTGTATATTAGGAGTAGAAATTAGTGTAATGTTTGTGCAGGGAAATTTGACAGCTTGTCACAAAAGCCTCTAAAACATGTAAACCATTGGACCTTGCAATTCCACTTGTGGTAATTCATCCAAAGGAAATGATCAAAGATGCGCATAGTGATGTATGTTCCTCATGGTAGGGCTTATAACAGTGAAAAACCGAATGTGCAGCAATTAAGAAAAGGCAACAGAGTTCACTCCTGTTGACGGAAGAAAGCACGTATTGTAATACGTGTAGCACAGTGCTATTTTTTAAGGCAAGTATTTATATGCATAGAAAAATCTGGAAGGATACGCTCCAAAATGCTAACAGTGGTTATCTCTGGGGGATGAGAGGAGGATTTTTCTTTTCTTTTTTTATTTGTGTTTTCTAAATGAATATGAATTTATTTTTCTAAACTTTTTATTGTGAGACAATATGCTGTTGTACGGAATAATATGGAGAGATCTTTTGTACCCTTGACCCAGTTTCTTCCCATGGTAACATCTTGCCAAACTATGGTACAGTATCACAAGCAGGATTGTGACACTGATACAGTCAAGATACAGAACACCCTCCTGGTGACCTTTGATAGCCATGCCCACTTCCCTCCCACCACCTCCTCCTTAGCCACCAGCAACCACTAATCTAGTCTCTATTTCTACAATTTTGTCATCTCAAGAGTGTTATATAGATGGAATCATGTAGTATGTGACCCATTGCGATTGGCTTTTTTCACTCATCATAATTCCCTGGACATTCATCCAGGTAATTGCATGTATGAATAGTTTGTTTCTTTTCACTGCTGAGTAGTACTCCATGGTGTGACTGTATCAGCGTGTTTAACCATTTACCCGCTGAAGGACATCTGGGTTGTTTCCAGTTATTGGCTATTGAGCATAAAGCTGCTATGAACACTTATGTACAGGCCTTTGTGTGGACACAGTTTTCATTTCTCTGAGATAAATGCCTGGGAGAGCCATGGGTGGGTTGTATGGTATTATATGTATGTATGGTATGTATGTATGTATTTAGTTTTTTAAGAAACTGCTGAACTGTTTTCCAGAGAGGCTGTGCCATTTTACATTCCCACCAGCAATGCATGAGAAGTTTCCAGCCACTATTTCTTTGGGTAATTTTTCAGCCCCGCCCCCTTTTCTCCTCTACTTTCCAGACTCCGAGGACACGCACGTTAGATTTTCTGTTATGGTCCCCCAGGTCCGGGACGCTCCACGTTCATTCTTCTTTTTTTTTTTTTTTTTGTGAGGAAGATCAGCCCTGAGCTAACATCCATGCCAATCCGCCTCTTTTTGCTGAGGAAGACCGGCTCTGAGCTAACATCTATTGCCAATCCTCCTCCTTTTTTTTTTCCCCAAAGCCCCAGCATGGCTTGATGAGCAGTGCGTAGGTCTGCACCTGGGATCCAAACCTGCGAACCCCGGGCTGCCGAAGCGGAGCATGCAAACTTAACCGCTATGCCACCAGGCCGGCTCTGCGTGCTATTTTCATCTTTGTTGTCCAGGTTTGATCTCGTTGGGTTCTGACTTACATTCCTGGTCCAAGAGCAGTGCTGCCCTGATACTTGAGTGGAAGAGGCAGCTCCTCCAGTCAAAAACATCCCCCCGCTGGCATGCCTCAAAAACTCAGTTTCATTCCCTACCGGTCTCCTTCTAAAAACAAGGATGTCAATGGGTCTAATGCTTTAAGTTGCAGAAGACCGTCAGTTTGCATTCACAGCAGGGAGGGACCATTGGCAGGAGCACCCAGGGGACAGCTGGACCCTATTAGCAAAACCTTTCTTTGAGTCAGGTTCCTCCCAGGGATTTGATCACCGCCTGGCCTTCAGATTGCCCAGACCTAACCCGGATGCCTGAGACACAGGTCAGCTCAGAAGCCTGCAGCTCTCATTCTGAGAAGCACAAACCGACCCACACTGGGAGAGCACAGAAGACACTCCACAGCCCAGCAAGTCCCAGGGTGCCACGTGTCTGTGACTTTTTGTAAATTATCTTGACTTGTATTTTTTCAATTACTTTCAACAAATTGGCCCTTTCTCCTTCCGCTCTCTTTGTTCTTCGAGTGTGAGTAATTTTTAAGCCTAGAGAAGAAACTTGGAAATTCCCTGGCAGATCATACTCGATTCTCACAACTTTTGTTATCCTTATTTAGAATTTTTGTGGTGCCTGCAGCTATGGCCCAAGGAATGCCCCCAAAGGATGGCTGACCAAGCCCTTCCCAGCAACTATCTTGAAACTGTCCGGCTTCCCACTTGCCATGCATATCAGGGATTTCCCTCTCTCTGCCCAACATCCTTCCCACCCCACCCCCAACCCCCAAAACCCCAAATAAAACTTCTCTCCACCTGGAGAAGGAAGGAGGTAACTTCTACAGGGCTGGTGGTCAAGGGCTCAGAAAGAAAGGAGCGAGGTCTTGCAGAACTTCTGCTGTTCCTCTCTAGAAATTTGGGGGAGGGGGCCTGGAATTCCATGTGCTGCTAGTTGGAAAGACCATAAAGCCAGCCAGCCCCGTCAATAGAGCAATGACCAAGAATGCTCCAGATGGCTGGGCACTGGTGGGTGTTCTCAGACCCACTCTTCCAGGGTGGCAGCTCCTTTGCACACAGGGAGTGATGTCTGTGGATGGCAGGGGAAGCCTAGGAGTCCACCTTCAAGGGCCCCTCCTAACTGGGCAGGCAAGACTAACAGATTCAAAAGGAGGAGGGCAGATGTGGGGCTGGATGGCAAATGAGATTGGCTGGGTGGCCCCTGGGAGGGAAGAGCCAGATGCCCTTGGAGGCAAGGGGCACAGAGCCTCCCTCTTCCTTCTCGCTTCTCCTCCTTCCTGTTCAAGGCCTGCTTCGTTCTCAGGGCCAGTGATGGCTGCGACTGACCTCTGTGTGTAGGCTGGTCAAGAATCTTTCTTCCTATTTTACAGATCAGCCAGCTGAGGCTTAGGGAGTTGAAGTCCCACAGCAGAGGGCCCTGCGGAGGACTCGGGAGTGCACCTAGCCTGTCGGCTTGTCACAGCCCCAGTGCCCACCTCTTGTCTGTCTCCCACGTGCTCTCAGATCCAGCCGCCTCAGGAGAGAAGGGCTGAATTTCCGCTGAGACCTGCAGTGGGGACGGCCACATGAGGCCCATGTCCTTGGCGTGGGAAGGAACTGAGAGGGCCCTAACCACTTGAACAGATTTGGGGCTGGGCCTCGGTTCCCAACAATGGAGACCCAGACCTCCTGCTCTGGCCATTCATAAATATTTGTTGCAAGACCTGGCTGGGCTGGCCAAAACCAGCTCCTCTCTCTTGTGTGTCTGCTGGCCT